GCTGAAAGATTTTATTTAATATGATTGATTATTTTTTGCAAACAAAAGCAGCCTTTTTGGGCTTAAGGTCAAGGTCAAGTTTATTTATATAGCACATTTCAAACAGTTGATGCTGCACAAAGTGCTTAACAATATAAAAATGGCATTAAAAAGCAACAATGTAATACAATAATAACATTATAAAACAATAATAGGACAATAAAAGAATTAAAACAATAACTAAAACTATTTCAAATAAGACAAAAATGCTTGGGTCATAGTGTGTTAAAAGCCAGGGCATAAAAATGTGTCTTTAGTAATGATTTAAATTGTGTTTGTGCAGATCTAATAATTAGGGGGAGACTATTCCAAAGTCTGGGACCTGCCACAGAGAAGGATCTATCACCACGAGATTTGAGATAAGTCCGTGGGATGGACAGCATTAATTTTGAGCTAGCTTAAAGGTGCAGGTAAATACAGGTGTTACTGATCTTGCCTTAAACAAAACAGAACCTTCATTAAACGACCTTAAACGCTTACCAGCCACTTTATTAGATACTCTCATTAAACTGCTCGATAATGCAAGTGTCTAATCAGCCAATCACATAACAGCAACTCATTGCATTGAGACATGAAGACTTGGCCAAGATGACTTGCTGAAGTTCAAACTGAGCATCAGAATGAGGAAAGAAAGGTAACTTAGGAGACTTTGACTATAGCATGATAATTGTTCCCAGAAAAGGCGGCTTAAGTATTTCAGAAACTGCTGATCTACTGACATTTTCCCAAACAACCATCTCTAAGGTTTACAGAAAATTGTCCCCCCTCCCCAGCTCCCACGCCAAAAAAGAAAGAAATAAGACATATCCAGTGAGTGGTAGTTTCTGGGCAAAAACTGCCTTGTTTGTGTCAGAGGACACTGACCAGATTGCTTTGAGCTAAAGGGAACTCAACAATAACTCATAAGCACTTATTAAAAGGTGTGCAGAAGAGCAAAACAACAAACCTTGAAGCAGATGTGCTACACAGCAGAAGACCACACTGGGTACTACTCCTGTCAGCTAAGAACAGGAAACTGAGGCTCCAGTTCACACAAAACTGGTCAACATCAGATTGGGGAAAAAATGTTGCCTGCTTTGATGAGTCTCAATTTCTGCTACCACATTTGGATGGTAGGGTCAGAACAACATGAAAGCATGGATCCGCCCTCCCCTGTATCAACAGTTCAGGCTGGTGGATGGATATTAGCACCCTTGGTACCAACTAACATTGTTTTTTTGTCTTTTTTAATTCTTTATTTCTAAACTATTACTTCACGAAGGTGATTACAGGCATTAATTAACACAATTTACAAGGAAAAAACAAAATGAAAGAAAAAGAAAACAACAACAACAACAACAACAACAACAAAAAAAAACAGTCGGGAGTGACCAATTAGCTAGGTTGGTGGTTTCAAGCTTTGAGAAGAAGATCCGGCTTATGAGTATTGGCATATAGGACACACTTATCCCAACACGAACGGAACCAACACACTCTGTCACTGACATAAGCTGTTACCTCCTCCATCCTATAAATCTCTAGCGTAATTTCCCACCATAATGACAAGGTCGGTATATCTTGCAAGGACCCTTTCTTAGTTATACCTTTCTTACTTGCAACAATTAAAGCTCTTAACAGACATGTATCATTTTTAGACCAGTTCTGCGGTATACAACCAAAAAAGTTTGTCTTCATGTCCCAACTAACATTGTTTAAACCCCACAGCCTACCTGAGTATTGTTGGTGCCCAGGTCCATCTCTTTGTAGCCACAGTGTACCCATCTTCTGATAGCTACTTCCACCAGGATAGCGCACCATGTTACTTGAACATGACCATAAGTTCTCTGTACTTGAATGGCCTCCACAAGAAATAGAAGTTAATCAAATAGAACACCTTCGGGAGGTGCTGGAATGGGAGATTCCCCTTATGGATGTTTCCATGATCTTGTTGAATCTATGTCTTCAGAACTGCCTTAATTCTTTGTGTCAAAGTGTATCTGATGAATTATCTGGTGAGTGAATATCAAGACAAAATGGCTGTTGGGAAACGGATAAATTCCCCATTTTAAAAACTGTTTTCAACTCCTTTTCTGGGTCTTTAATGATAACAAAAAAGAAAAAAAAAAAACTATGGAAAAGTGTAACCTGTAATCGTGCAGGTGTGATACACAGAGATGCTTCACATGGATAAAAAAAAAAACCCTTCAGAGATACTGACAGTCACTCAGATTTACCATCAGCTGAACAACATGAATAGTAGCAGTCTGCTCACTTCTCATTACCGCTCGTTCTCCACCACTTGTTCTTGTTAACACTAGCGTTTCCGTATTTCTATTCGGCTACACCATCAACTCTGCAACTTCACACAAAAGCCTTTCCACAGTTAAATACAACCCCTGCTTGAACTGACTATTTACTGAAAGTCTCATTCCAGTTTTCTTCTAAGGTCACAAACTCTCTTTTTTTTTTTTTTTTAATTCTTTACCTCCTTAAAAACAGGAAACATCACTGTGTAGAGAGCCATCGGAGCCAGCGAGGCAGCAGCTGCATCATTCTTCATGTCTCCCATGGTCATCCTTGACCAATCGATGGACCCCTGTGCGTGCACTCGTCCACTGATGCCGGTTTCACTGCATTCAATCAGTCATGAAGACTGACAGAATGGGAGCAGACAAGGATCTAAAGAAGAAAAGAGCACGATGGGAGAACAAGCAGGGAAAGATGGATGGTAGTTGACAAAAACAACTGTGTAAGGGATTAAAAAAAAAAAAAAAAAACTAGATAAATAAATAAAATGATCCATGTTTACAACCAGGCTAAATTTATCCTGTTTAAACATGTCTCTATTGTAGTGAGGAGGTAGAGAACTGGTTCCACAAAATTTCAACTGGAGCACTCTAATTCTATAAATTTTTGTGCAATTAAACAAGATCAAACCCCATGTTTACTTGTTCCAAGAAAGTCTTTCAGTCACAGATATGATCATTCCATAACAGCCACATCACTTAAAAGACTGTGCTTTACTGCTCCACTGGGTGCAATGCCGACAAAACGGGCACGAGTCACACCTGTACCAGAAAACCACGCTCTTCTGAAAATGACTGCCACAATAAAGCAAGGCGGTGTGATAAATGTACCACCTTGGTATTGGTTTTTAGCTTGTTTTCCCCCCCCAGACCAGGTTAGTCATAAATAATAACAAGAGGAAGATCCAGCACATCCTCTTTTGCAGGCCTGTATTCTGTCTCTTTTACTGTTGGTGACACAGGAATTCACAGGACCAGTTTTTGCTCACCTACATTTTTAAGTACGTAACAGCTTCAATGGCTCTATGTGACAGTCTCCATTCGTACAACAAATCCCTAATTAAATAAGGCCTTTTTATACGAGCTCACTATTTACACGGGTGAATGAAACAAGAGCGAGACAAGTCGTCACCCTGTGACTTTCTGCCATAACTGAGAGTGCTCTTAGGTTTATCAGATGCTTGGTTCTGCCCTTTGGCACTCTCTCGTGCATAGAGAGTAAAACTGTAAACAGGTCCAGTGTGACATTATTATATCTGATAAGGATTTTAAAAGGAGGTTTAATCAGTGTTTACAACAGCCATGGTTACAGGAAGGATTGCACTGGTTTCTAGTTATAAGGGATACGTCATATACAATTACATGTGCCAAAAAAGGTAACACTGCAGACTCTGTTACTTCCCTGAACCATAAATGACTAAGGTGTGGC